TTTTTTTTTTTTTTTTTTTTTTTTTTTTTTTTTTTTTTTTTTTTTGTGGGGTTCTTCGCTTGATCTTAGTTTTGATCCTTAGAATTTTGATTTTCATCCTTCGGCCTTTTACCCTCAATTTCTTGACCCGTCAAGATATTTTTAACCAGAACAATGAACAAGATCTATACAACTGAGTTCTTATGGGGTTTGGAACCACAACATGACATTTTCATTATCTACCAATTCATGTTGTGCCCTTTCTGTTTGAACATGCTATATTAGACAATTCTTAGAACAATCGTTAGTAACCCATTTGATAAGAATTTTATCTATTAGTTCTTATGATCTTTAATATATCACTGTTTTTTTTATAAACTAACTTTTTATTTGTTTTTGCTTCACATATATTATTGAAATATCAAGTTCACACCATAGAAGAGAAGGGATGATAGATAATATGGAGAGATGTTTCACGGTACAAGTGACCACAAAGAGAGGTAACACACTATTCCTCATAATATAATAGAGGTGCGTATACCAACAACCATGGTTTTCAATCTCGACCTTAAGTAAGAGTAAGAAAGAAAAAAAAGAAAAGAAAAGAAAAGAAAAAAGAAGAGAATGGGAGGAAGTGAGATTTGAGAAATGAAGAGTGAGGGAGAGAACAGTGTGCATTAAGTTTGGTACAGTAAAGGGATGCGGTGTTTGTGGAATGGCATATTATGTGCGTAATCATGAAGCATAGCGTTTATAATTGACCCAAAATGTTTGGGAATGCCATTTGTTTGTAGAAAGCACCTCACAAATACTTATCCATTAAAGAGAAAAAAGAACATTTAATGAAAAAAGTTTGTAAAGTCATCCTTTTTCATAAACCGGGTGAAGCTTAGGAGTGGTGGGATCCACCATCCCTTTTGGTTTCTTCTCCCCCATTCATTCATTCATTCACCCTCTTTATCAAATTATGGCCTTTTAAGTTTCCCTCTTTGTATTAACTTCTTATGATGACAGCTTCAAAAGTTGTTCATACTTTTTTTAGTAACTTGATAACTATTTTTACTTCCTTTTTACGTTATCTTTCTTTTTTCTTTTTAATGTTTGCAAAGTTCCACCACATCTTCTTTTTTTCTTACACGAAAAATATTTTTTTATAATAATAATAATAAAAAAAAGAAATCTCTACTAAAGATTATATTAAAGATTTTTAAACTATAGTATATTAAAATGGTATATAATAATAATGATAAAATAAAACGGCGGTAGGGAAATTTGGAAGTTCAGATTATAAGAAACAATTTGGTGTCCACATTTTTCCTTTTTTCTCATATACACAATAAAAACGTGTGGTTAAGCTTTTGTGTCCATTTTGCAATTAGGGCTACCAACCATTATTTATTTATTTATTTATTTATTTATTATTATTTTTTAAAATCCAGTTGTATCAATTCCTCAATCTCAACAACAAATATCTACCAGAGTTAAGAAGCAGAGAAAGGTAGGTTTGTCTTAAATCATACATATATTGCCAACGTAAGCCATGAAAGTCATCTCAAAAAATAAAATAAAATAAAAAATAATTAATTAATCGAAGGAATGGAAAAAATAATGTTATAAAAATTGATTGAATAGATAGGAAGAAGGAAGTCACATGGGTCCCTCCCTTTTCCAAATCCCACCATTCCATTCGGTCGCTCTCCCTCTCTCTCTCTCTCTCTCCCATCATTCCTCCTCCTAAGCCTCAGCTCCTAAAACTGAACACACTCTGTCCCTTTCTTTGCCACTCGTTTCTGTGTGTTTCTTTTTTTTCTATTATTTTCTTCTTTTCTCAAACATTTTTTCCTTCTCTCCCACCGCGATGCCTTGGAGTTGGGCCTGAAGAGGAAAGCTGAAGGCTTCCAAAATTCCCATTTCCCATTTCCCATTTCCCCACCATCCCTTTCTTCTCCTTTCCCTTTATCATCCATCATCCCAAGTACATTATCCACTCTTCCCAATTTTGCATTCCAATTTATCTTCTTCTTCTTTTTTTTTTTTTTTATATTCATTTTCTTCCCTTTTGCTTCTTTTCTACCATTCTTCTAACACCTTCTACAGATTCAGCCTCCCTGCCCATGTCGATATCCGATTTTCTTTTGGTCTTAGCCGCCATTTCTCATTCTTCACTTCCTTCATCTCATCCTATTTGCTCTCCTCTTTAAGCTTTCTCGGATTCCCCAGATGAAGATGCAGCTTGACTTGTGAATTTCTACCAGGTACCCATCATTTTAAACTATTTTTTGTTTGCTTTTATACGAAAATTCAATTTATGGGTATTGCAACCTTCACTTGTGGAGACCAGAAATTGAGATTACTTTATCATTTCATGGGGTGAAAAAAGTGATGATGCTGCAGAACTGGGTTTCAGTTGTTTGTCAGGTAGACACTTATATGTTTGCTGTAGTGGACGATTTTGATCTTGATGACAGTGAGCTACTTTTTCCGAAATTTGACAATAGATCTTAAAGGAAAGTGAATGAAGTGGATATTTCCTGTAGATGGCCAATATTCCTCGTCTTTTGGAACTTAAAATTTTATCTAGTTCAGGAAACTTTGGGAGTGCTGATTGTATTACTTGTGTGCAGTGATTTTGAAGGGAAGTACTATAACGCTTTGCTTGTTTGTATTGTATTTGCTTATGCCTTAAATTGCATCTTCTTATCCCTGCTGAACTCGTTCTGTTCATCGTTCCTGGTCTGGTTCCTTTCTATTCTGATCTAATCTTATTAGCAGTGCTCTGAAGAGTGTATAGCTGAACTGGGAAGGATCCTGATCTGAGAAATTTTCTGTTGGAAGTAAGTTAAAAGCACCTTGAGAATCAGTCTTGTCTGCATTTTTTTTTATAAAAAAACGTTCTGCGAATCGCTACCATAGAAGGAAACTGAGAGTGTGTTGGAGTAGAGGAAGTTGCTTGATGTATTTGAGACTCAGGGGCATTGGTAATATGGGCGATGGTTCTATGGATGACATGAAAGGAACTAGAGTTTCTTTGATCGAGTCATCGGCTTCGAGATTAATGAAGAGGTCACGCGCCCCTGGAAGCGGTCCCCAAGTCCCTTCCTGTATGGTTGATGGTTGTAGCTCAGACCTTAGCAAATGCAGGGACTATCATCGCCGCCATAAAGTATGTGAGCTCCATTCTAAAACACCAAAAGTAACCATTTGCGGTCAGGAACAACGATTCTGTCAGCAGTGTAGCAGGCGAGTTTAAATGTTTAGAACATCAATATCTGCAATTTGCTTCATTAATTCTGCCTTGGGTTAATTTTCATGATTTTCTTGTCGGATTGAAATAATTTGAGTTAGGCATATAGGATATCTCAAACTTGTTGCTTTTCATCTTGTACTTGGAAACTTATCCATATTTTTCATGGATATGGAAACTTATCCATATTTTTCATGGATAGGATATACTTGGAAACATTCCCTCATGGATATATTTTAAAATGTGCTAATGTTTTTGCCTTTTACCAGATGGTTGAATCAGTGTTGGATGCAAATATTTGTGAGATACTTACATTTTGTGTTTATTTTACTTCTTATCTTTGTATGGTTGGTTCCCTTCTTGGCATTCGTTTCAGTTCCCTTAACATGTGCTTGTAGATTCCATTCTTTGGTGGAGTTTGATGATCGAAAACGAAGCTGTAGGAAGCGTCTCGATGGGCACAACCGGCGTCGAAGAAAGCCTCAACCAGCGACTATGACACTAAATGCAGGAAGATTTCTCTATGGCAACCAAGGTTTGTATTATTAGTTTAGGCTTGGTTTCCCTGGTCCGATCCAATTGAATTCTCTTCCATGCTTCCAAGAATTCCATGACTGTTCCCAATGTTTACATTGTTGTTTCGTTGTCGAATGATGAACCAGTGCGAAGTACATACCACTTGTTTGTGCAGGTCCAAGATTCTTACCATTTGGTAATCAATTACTGTCTGCCAGCAATGATGTGAGCTCTTCTTGGATTGGAATGATCAAACCCGAGAGCAATGCCCCTCTTTGCAGCGGCAACTCACAGTTTGACTTTGGTGACAGAAGAAAAAGTATGTTGCCTGGGTCGTTGGCTTGTGATTACAAAGAAAAACAATTAGCAATCTCTTGCATCCCTATAGGATTGCTTCCCAAATCATCCGATGCTCGCCCATTTCTCGACGTTGAATCCAGCAACGGAGAGAATGTTCAGAAAGTGCTCGGAAACGGATCAGATCAGTTCTTCAACTCTGACTGTGCTCTCTCTCTTCTGTCAACACCAGTTGAGCCCGGGGAGATTAATCTAAGCTCCATGAGCCAATCCAACCTCATCACCCCAGCCCATTTCATCCACAGTGACGGTCTTGGCTTGGAGAGTGACCCTGTTAATTCTGGTTTGGTCTCGGACGGTAGCAGCCATGCCAACATCCGGTGCTACCCGACGTTCCAGGATGGTCTTGCTGGATCATCTGTAGATTTATTCAGGTATTGAAACATGAAAGTCGGGTCATTCTTGTAGGTTCTGAGATAGATTTATGTAATATGCCTATTCTCTTCAGGATTTAACTCAGCCACGGTTAACCTTCCAATCTCTGCTTGCTTCTTTTGTTCTGTGAGTTTTAAGGAATGCTGTTGTGTTGTGTGTGAAATGTCTGTTTCGATGTTTTTACTTTGTTCAGACTTGAGATTTCGAATATTAATTTTGTGCCTCTTTTGAGTTCCTCTTCTCTTGGAATAGTCAAAATAGTTGATTTTGGTTATGGATCATATGATGTTGACTAAAATTTATATATAATAGTTGATTTGGTGATTGCTTGAAAATATTTTGTATTTGACATCTTCTCTCCTATAATTAAAAAAAAGAAGGCTTTCATCCTCACCAAATATGAGAGTAGGTAGGTTCACATTTCATTCCATACATAATTATAGGGAAAATCCAGACAATGCATTATCAAATGGCCCACTATGGTTGATGACAAAGTGTAAAGGCTCCGAAGTGGGGCCTGCGACTAAAATTCAATATGCCTAAGATAAGCCTATTCCATATTATTTCCCTCTATCTCTCTTCATTCTTAAAGCTTTAACTCAATAGTTCCCATTCCTACTTCTTATACTTACTATTTTTATGTTGATGTTGATGTTTGTATTTTGTATGCATGAAAACTTATCATAATTATTCATAGAAATTGTATTTTACGTTACGTTCTTACAGTGTCTATGTACATATCTAATTCAACAAGAGGTTACTTATTCGGTATTCTTAATACTCATTCTTAAAAAAAAAAAAAAAAATAATAATAATAATAGATAAAGACAAGAATAAATAAGGGTAAGACGAAGAAGGTTGTTGGGTTGTCATGAGTCTAGCATATTTAAGAATATTTGCCTTGCTTCCTTACATTTATGAGTTTCTAGTATTTGAGGAGTAGATTGTTTTTATGCACTTTACTTGTTTTCTAAACAAATCTTTCCCTTTTTAAAATTAAGAAAATGTTGTAGGAGAAAAATTAGATTATTACAAAATTAAGAAAATGTTGTAGGAGAAAAATTAGATTATTACAAAATTAAGAAAATGTTGTAGGAGAAAAATTAGATTATTACAAAATTAAGAAAATGTTGTAGGAGAAAAATTAGATTATTACAATTTAGCATTGGAGACTAACTTGAAGGGTTAGGTAGACAGCTAAAACTATATTTAAGAACATACCAGTATCATAAAATTGATTTGATATATTGTATAAAAATGAGAAATGGAAAATTTTAAAAACCTAGAAGTTCTCAGATTTAACCATTTATAGATGAAGTAGATGTGGAGGGGTTGGGCAATGGGCACTATACATACACCACATTCATAGGTGCAGCTGCCAAAGTACTATGAGTTTGGACCACCTCACAGGGGTGCGTTAAAAAGACATTGCTTTCTTTCACCATCTGCCATCTCACCTGCACTTCATGTCTTATTTATTGGTCCCCAAACCCTATGCCTCCAAAACCTAAATTCTCATTAATGTTCTCTTNTTTTTTTTTTTTTTTTTTTTTTTTTTTTTTTTTTTTTTTTTAATTTTAAGAGCATTGAACTCGACATTTTAAAATTAGCGTATCACCAAAAAAAATAAAAATAAAAAAATAATAAATTAAAATGGGTTTAATAAAGAAAATTGAAGCAAAAGGAAACTTGGTCCAAGAAATTGTTGTTGGAAAATACAGTTGAAAAAAAAAGTACACAAAATTAAAATAGTGAGTGATTAATAATTGTTTGATATAAAATTTGTTAAATGGAGTTGAAAATTAAATTGTAAGTAACAAATTTGAGGTAGGGGGGCTAAATTAGAATGGAAGTACTATAAGGTCCCGATATACCCTTACTTAAAACAATCAAAAGACATTAATATTTTCCTCATGTGTTAACCCTAGTAGCAACCCTATTAAATTGAATAATGATGGCATTGAATTTTGGTTTAAGATCTTAGAGCTACTCTCAATCCAAAATACCCACCTCCTCAAATTAAGGACATTAGCTTCTTAATTTAACTTAATTTACATTTTAAGAATATTTATTAAAAAATTTAGAAATATATTGTTAGAATTGAAGTTCCCCGCGAGCAAGGAGGTTAAAAAAATTTAGTTTAATCGTGGAAGTTGGAATTCATGGATAAGGGAAGTTTTATTTAATTTAGTTCCATGTTAACCAAAGCATCCCTAAAGTAACATAAATTGAATATGTTTGTAATTAGATTCTCCATTGAAAAGAGGAAGGAAGAACATATGTTTGTATTTGGAGGAGAATGTTTGGATTTGGAGGAGAATGTTTGGATTTGGAGGAGAATGTTTGGAGGAGAATGTTGGAGTTTGTAAGTTTGTGTGCTTACACTTGACCCAATTTAATTTCATGTCTCTCTCGCTAATCTAAAATTTGGCAAACACAGGTAGCAATACCCTTTAAAGTATGAAGGTGTTTTAGCATAGGAGTAGAGGAGAAGGGTAGTTTGGTAAACTTGAAATGCATTGTTTTTGTTTTTGTTTCATGTTGTTAAGGTTAGGTCACATGATTAACCGAGGGTTGGGATATGGTGAGACGGGTAACAGCCTTCGCCCACTTCAAAGCTCGACACGTGTCATTTTGATTCATTTTCCTCATTTCTCACTCTCCCGTCCCCTCTCATCTCTAATCAACACCGTCCAATCAATCTAGAAATTTGTATTTTTGGAAGGGACGAGTGTTTTTGAGGGAATGAGGTGTAACCCTAGATGAGAGGAGATGAGAGGAGATGAGAGGAGATGAGAGGAGATGAGAGGAGATGAGAGCATAAAAGAAGGAAAAGAAAAAAAGGATGGGGGGGGTTTTGTGTTGTTAGTTTAGTTTGTGAGAGAGCGAGAGAGAGAGAGAGAGAGAGAGAGAGGAGGTTGGAGAAAGATGTGAAGAATATATATAGAAAGGCACATAGCATAGGTTAAGCAGGGAAAGAGGAAAGAAGGAAAGATTTAAGAGAAGGAGAGGAAAAAAGATGGGAAGAGGGAGAGTAGAGCTGAAGAGAATAGAAAACAAGATCAATAGGCAAGTCACCTTCGCTAAACGGAGAAATGGGGTTTTGAAGAAAGCTTATGAGCTCTCCGTTCTGTGCGATGCCGAAGTTGCTCTCATCATCTTCTCCAATAGAGGAAAGCTCTACGAGTTTTGCAGTAGTTCAAGGTATGTCATCACTTTTAACAAACTTAACTTCAATCATTCTACTTTGTTTTGTTTTTTTTTAAAAGCAGTTTCAACCCAACCATTCCTGAGATCTGCTCCTTCTCTTCTATTTCTAAATTTTTGGTTTCCCTTTTCCTTTTTTCTCTTTTTTAACCTTTTCATGCTAACTTCTTTTCTTTTTCCTTTTCAAAATTTAAATTTAAATTATATTAGGGTTTTGTTCTCAACCCCTTTTCTTTGCTTCTCCTTCTTTCTTTCTCTATGGGGCGATGGATGGATCAATTTTATACTTTGCATTTCTCAAATTAGGGTTCTTCTTTTTTTCTCCCGCTAATTTAGGGTTTGGTTTCTTTCTTTTTCTCCCTGTATGGGATTTTTGTTTTCTTTTCTTTTCTTTTCTTTTTTTGCCTCCCATTGTATTTGTGAACCCAAACGAGAGTTAATCATAACTAGGTTTACTTTTTGCTTTTTCTTTTTCTTTTTTTTTTGGGAAAAAAATTAGACTCTTATGTATATGTCAGAACCCAGAAATGGATTTATGCAATTAACCATCGTTGTTTTTTGTATTTTGAAGCTCACAAATGGTTTTCACCTTTACTCACACAAACATCCTTCATTATATGTAATTTATTCGTTCTAATAACTACTCATATTTGTAAGGTTAGATTATAGAGAATGCCTCTAAAAGTTGAATTAATTGTTTTTAGTTTATATTATTATTATTATTATTATTATTATTATTTGTGAAATCCAGCATGCTGAAAACATTAGAGAGATACCAGAAATGCAACTATGGAGCACCAGAGCCGAATGTGTCCACAAGAGAGGCCTTGGTAATCACTCTTACTTTTCAGTTATCCATTTACATTTATTTATTTTATGTTTTCAATTTCTAATTTGAAAAATGTGTCCGAAAATGAAAATGAGTATATGGATGGGTTAAATATAGGAAGTGAGCAGCCAGCAGGAGTATTTGAAGCTTAAAGCTCGCTACGAAGCTCTGCAACGATCCCAAAGGCAATATAATAACCCCACCCTTTTATATTCCTTTTACTTTCCATCTTTACTCATACGTAAATGGTAATTGAATTAAGCAGGAACCTTTTGGGAGAAGACCTTGGCCCATTGAGTAGCAAAGAACTTGAATCCCTTGAAAGGCAACTTGATATGTCACTCAAGCACATAAGGTCAACAAGGGTAATTCTTCTCCTTCGAACATCAAACCTTTTTTTTTTTTTTTTTTTTTTTTTTTTTTTTTT